GAAGGAAGCAAGGAGCCGAAGTTCCCGGACAACCTGGCATACGTGCTGCGGATGTGTTAGCGCGTGTATATACTGTACACCCTAACCAAGCCGAATGCTTCTACCTCAGATTGTTGCTTCACACAATCCGAGGACCGACGTCATTCGCAGCATTGAGGACCATCGATGGAGAGGAATGTGAGACCTACAGAGAAGCATGCCAAAGACTTGGCTTGCTTGAAGATGATCAGCAATGGGACAGAACTCTCGCAGAAGCAGCTACGACAAGTTTCGCTGCTCAACTGCGAAGTCTCTTCGGCATCATCTTGACAGTCTGTCAACCGTCAAATCCTCGAGCACTCTGGGAGAAGTACAAAGAGGCTCTGAGTGAAGACGTACTCAGGGAATGTCGCAGAGGGGCACCCTCTGTAGACGTCGGTTACTCTCCCGAGATATTCAACCGAGCGTTGATACTGCTTGAGGATACGTGCGTGTCGATGACTGGTCAAACTCTCAGAGACCTCGGTTTGCCGTCGCCAGTACGCGGAGATGACCAGGCACTCGAGAGCGATGTTCTCCGAGAGAGGTCCTATGATGCCAATCAGCTGACCACATTTGTAGAGTCTAACAGACCTCTTCTTACGGAGGATCAAGAGTTGGTTTACCGTGCTGTTCTGGACACGATTTCCAGTGGCAAAGGTGGGCTACTCTTTCTCGACGCTCCGGGTGGAACAGGGAAAACGTTTCTCATCAATCTCCTACTTGCCGAGATTCGCAGACAAGGAGGAATCGCAGTAGCAGTGGCATCCTCGGGGATTGCCTCAACACTGCTAGAGGGAGGCCGAACTGCCCATTCAGCCTTCAAGCTTCCTCTGGATATTGCTCATGTAGAGCACCCAGTGTGTGGGATAAGCAAGGGCACAGGGAAAGCCAAGGTGCTACAGGAAGCCAAACTCATAGTTTGGGACGAATGCACCATGGCGCATAAGAAGTGCCTAGAAGCCCTTGACAACACACTACGGGACATACGAGAAAGCAACACGCTAATGGGTGGGGTCGTCGTGTTACTGGCAGGCGACTTTCGTCAAACTCTGCCAGTGGTTCCGCGATCGACTCCAGCAGATGAGCTGAACGCTTGCCTCAAAGCTTCTCCTCTCTGGAGACATGTTCGATCGCTGAATCTCACGACGAACATGCGAGTCCACCTCCTTGGCGATGAGACTGCCCGAAACTTTGCGCAACAGCTGTTGCTTCTTGGCGAAGGCAGAATTCCGGTTGAACCAAGTTCTGGCTGGATTACCTTTCCTCCAGACTTCTGCAATATGGTTCAATCGGTGGGAGAACTGATCGAAAAGGTCTTCCCAAACATTGCCACCAACTTCAGCAATGGGGACTGGATTTGCGAGCGAGCAATTCTGGCACCCAAAAATGAGCAAGTGGATTCTATCAATGCTCAGATTTTAAACAGCCTACCTGGACCGGTATCAACGTACACGTCCTTTGATACCATGGTTCAGCGTGAACAGGCTGTTTACTTCCCCACTGAGTTCTTGAATTCACTCCAGCCCAATGGGATACCACCTCACAGACTTGATCTGAAGGTTGGTTTGCCAATCATGCTCCTTCGTAACATCAACCCACCGAGGATGTGCAATGGTACAAGGCTTTGCATCAGGGATCTCATGCCAAACGTCAGTATAGTCGTCAGTAGCGACCATATTGGCGGGGAAGTTCAAAGGCGAAGTCGTTCATGTTCCACGAATCCCTTTCGTCCCCTCCGATATGCCCTTTGAGTTCAGGCGAGTGCAGTTTCCGGTCAGGCCTGCACTTGCTATGACGATCAACAAAGCGCAAGGACAGTCTCTACGAACAGTAGGAGTAGACCTGGAAACTCCCTGTTTTTCGCATGGTCAACTGTACGTGGCGTGTTCGAGGGTCGGGAGTCCGGCGAACCTGTACATATATGCGCCCGAAGGGAGCACGGCTAACGTAGTGTATCCCAGGGCGCTAACATAATTGCATGCTGTAGTATAGTACAGTATTTATTTGTTGCATGCCATTCTATTGGAAAATCCAAAAAAATTGGAAAATACAAAATCCAAAAAAATGGCAAAACGAAAACCCAAAAAAATGGCAAAACGAAAACCCAAAAAAACGGAGGCCAGCGGCGGTCAGGGCAGGTGGGTGGGACAAACAAGAAGCTGGACAGATCCAGTCGAGCTTCCCTCCTTACTGATGAGTTCCGGGGAAAGCCTAGGACCTGTTTAGCCAAACCGTCTGAGGGTAGGAACGAAACGGTACATCCTCTTCTTGAGGAACGAAACGGAAGGACGACTATCGGCATCGGCAGCCTCTGTTGAGGACAACCATCGGTACAACCATCGGTTGCCTCTGTCGAGGACAGCCATCGGTTGTCTCTATCGAGGACAGCCATCGGTTGTCTTTGTTGAGAACAACCATCAGCTGTCTCTGTTGAGAACAGCCATCGGTTGCCTCTGTTGAGGACAACCATCGGTACAACCAACGGTTGCCTCTGTTGAGGGCAGCCATCGGTTGTCTCTATCGAGGACAGCCATCGGTTGTCTTTGTTGAGAACAACCATCGGCTGTCTCTGTTGAGAACAGCCATCGGTTGCCTCTGTTGAGGACAACCATCGGTACAACCATCGGTTGCCTCTGTTGAGGACAACCATCGTACCAACCATCTGTTGCCTCTGTTGAGGACAACCATCGGTACAACCATCGGTTGCCTCTGTTGAGGACAACCATCGGTACAACCATCGGTTGCCTCTGTTGAGGACAACCATCGGTTGCCTCTGTCGAGGACAGCCATCGGTTGTCTCTATCGAGGACAGCCATCGGTTGTCTTTGTTGAGAACAACCATCGGCTGTCTCTGTTGAGAACAGCCATCGGTTGCCTCTGTTGAGGACAACCATCGGTTGCCTCACTCGGAGGACAACCATCGGATGTCTATCGAGGACAGCCATCGGTTGCCTCACTTGGAGGACAACCATCGGTACAACCATCGGTTGCCTCTGTTGAGGACAACCATCGGTACAACCATCGGTTGCCTCCGTTGAACAACCATCGGTACAACCAGCGGTTGCCTCTGTTGAGGACAACCATCGGTACAACCATCGGTTGCCTCTGTTGAGGACAACCATCGGTACAAACATCGGTTGCCTCCGTTGAGGACAACCATCGGTACAACCATCGGTTGCCTCTCTTGAGGACAACCAACGGTACAACCATCGGTTGCCTCTCTTGAGGACAACCATCGGTATAACCATCGGTTGCCTCTGTTGAGGACAACTATCGGTTGCCTCTGTTGAGATAACCATCGGTAGCCTCTGTTGAGGATAACCATCGGTTGCCTCTGTTGAGGACAACCACAATTAAAATGCCAAAGTTGTTTTCTCTTCTTGAGGAATATAACTTCGTTTTTTTTACCGAAGTGTATGTGATGCCGGGCGGAGCCGGGTATGCCAGCTAGTCAGTTATAAAAAATCCAAATGATTCTTCGAACTTCTAATTGATTTAAATAATTTTTGAATTTTTTAAAAATCCAGTTTAGCCGAACAAATTTTTTGGGGGGCGTGGCTGCTGCCACTTCCGGTGTCATGTGCACCCAAAAAATTTGGGAAGCATTTTAAAAAAATTTCGGAGTGGTTGCTAACGCCACGCACCTCCATCCGAAAAAAAAATCAGATATTTCATTCTTCACGACTGTTCCAACTGTACCTGAAATTAGTTCTTGCGCAATAAATCTCAAAACAATTACGAACTTTGCCGTCATGCCAACCGCATAAAGCCAATCACAAGGTCGCGATTGAAGCTCGCAAAAAATTATAAAAGTTTTGACGATTATGATTTGTGAACTGGTGAACAAAGCGATGCTTTCTCATTACAATTTCTCAAAAAGGGGCTCTCTACCTTAGGAGAGTCTTTTGGTGAAAAGCTGATTTCCTTAAAGGTAATTCAGATGATTTCGCGGAATTCAGGTTAAAAGTACCGAGAGCAAAATTTCGTCTTGTCTTAGAGGCTTTCTGCCATATAGACGAGCAGCTGATAGTAAATTTGAGAACAAATTCTGGAAGTAAGTAACTTTGTTAATTACTGGGATCAAATGTGACACAATGAAGGATTTTCATACACTTCGCTTTTTGTTGTAAGGGTTGACCTTACTTTTGCCAAAGGAGCGTTTCAGAATTTTTTCAGGGATCGTTTTAGCGCAATTTTAGCTCATATCATAAAATTTATAGCATCCAACATTTTGTGCGAGAGAGAGATGGTGCACCGAAAGTTGTTGACCACTTAAAGTTTGGCTAAAGATAACTACGCAGATTGTAACTTCGGAGCATTGTTGAACGATCTTTGTGCGTAGCAGTAACGGATTGAGGGGGGGGGGGGGTAAATCAAGAGGCGCGATTATTATTGCCTTGTGGGCATCATTTTAGTATTTTATGATGTTCTAAGAGTAACTCAGATTTCTAAGAAGATATATGTGATTGTCTTATGAAGTGCTCGATCTTATCATTTTGTTATGGACCAAGACATAAGCGTTGGAGATCAAAAATCCATGAAAATGCAGCAAATGGAGATATCGCGCCTCTTGGCCGTTCCTTCCCTTATTCCCCCCCCCCCCCCAAAAAAAAAACGGCTCGCAAAAGTTGATTATATGTGTAAATGTGCACGTGGCTTGTTCATACTATAACAGTAAATAACTAGACTAACTTTCAAAATTTTCCAAAATTTGTATTTGCATTGTAATGGCGGCAGCCGTGCCCCCTTTTTCTGAAATTGCGGATTCATGGGCCCTCAAAAATTAGAAGAAGCATTCCAAAAAATTTTGGAACAACCAGACTTCATCTGCGAAACGTAGAACGAACTTTTATTGTAGATCATTTGAAGCAAGCACATAGAGTACAAATAAGCTGTGAAAGATTTATTTGTAAATCTTTACTACTTCGAATTAAACCTTAATTCGACCACAGCTTCATCTATTTCGGTTTTATTAAGACTCATTGCTTCGGTTCTCCTCTTGCGAAACGTCGTCTGTACAGCTCATCACCGGCAAAGAAGCTGCTCACTCCTTCACTCTTTCTGCTTAATCTCGCCAGTGCAATGCTTCTTGGAGGACAAGGACAATAGGCAGCGTCGCTTCCTGGTCCTCCAGCAGCTCCGGAACCTCCAGGTGGTCCATCTGGTCCTGGGGGTCCTTGATTTCCTGGTCGACCTGGCGGACCTGGTGGTCCAGGCTGGTCGCCAGCGGTGCCGGTGCCTTGTGTTCCAGGAGGTCCAGCTGGTCCTTCCGGTCCAGGTGGACCTGGAGGACCTTGCACTCCAACCACCTTGTTTCCAGAAATTCCATCCTGCCCTTTCGGTCCTTCAGGTCCAGCTGGTCCTGCAGGTCCTGCATCTCCTGCGGGTCCAGGAGGCCCAGGAGGTCCTTGTCCTCCGGCACCTCCGCCTGATCCTGGAGTTCCATCGGGTCCAGGAGGTCCTGGTGGTCCGTCTGGTCCGGGTGGTCCGGCAGGTCCAGGCGGGCACTTGATGCACCCGCCTGCTCCACCACCGCCAGATATGGCAATGCCATCGTTTCCTCTCTTGCCATCTTTACCTTTCAAACCAGGCTCTCCATCCGGTCCAGGAGATCCGGGTGGCCCTTGTGGACCTTGTGGGCAGTTCAAGGCTGGTGGACCACAGTTGCAGTGCGCTGGCCATTGACGAGGTTGACGTACAGAGCGCGGTTGGCGGAACGCATCGTATGGTGTCGGCCGCATTTCGTGCCAGGCAGAGTTGGCTGCGTCCTGAAAAGGAGCAGAAGATCTGATACAATTCTTTATAATTATTCGTAACCTTGAAGTAAGCGAGATCTTCAATGGCATCATCATAAAAGGTGTTGATGTCGTTAATGAGATATCCTACTGTAATCATGCACAGAGTTGTGATTACAGCGGTGACACCCGCCACAGACCAGATAACGGCGGTAGCACCCATCTTCTAAAATCAGCTGCTGCTTATGGCTAAAACATTACAAAAATAAAAATGAATTGTATTTATGCTTACGGCAATCATCAAACAGCTGGCTGCTGTAGATCAATCCAATGAGTGGAGGTGAATCCAAGCCCCTTTTGGTCCTATATATACACCTCTAGTTCGGCGACACTTTACTGCACTTAATTCCTGCAACCGCTAGATTCACAGCAAGTTTTTATGCATGTTTCATAACGTGAAGGTATCCAAACTCCACCCATTAAAGGTGTAGAACACTGTGAAGGGAGAGAATGAGAGAAAGGAGAGGAAACGAGAAAAAAATCGCAGGTGCACAGAGATGGGGGTGGGGGAGGAAAAGCTGAAAAAAAAGACTGTTTTTTTCTTTGACCCATACCCCAAGTTCTATCTCCATCTGTAGAAAAAAGTTCCAGACAAAGGCTTTGCGGGAAGACGTTGGAGGTTTTTTTATTGCTTCAGCTTAGAAACATTCTTCGCTTTTATGAGTAACATTATCTGCTAATCAACCTTCATTCCTTTCCTGCAGAAATTTTGAAATCATCACGGTATTGAGTAATGCTTAGGTTTTGCGAAAAGTTAAGTGTTATAAATGCGTGGAAAAACTTTCTGTCAGGTTATATACTTTTCAAAGCTTCAAAACCTTGTCTAATAGCTTCTATAGTCAACTGACATATTTGAGCGTTCTTATTGGAGGTCTCCTTCTAGGAATAAAGAGTATGAATTTAAAAAATTCAAAAATCATTATCTGTTAGGGAACCTAATCAGCACAAATCTTTCGCAGATACCAAACCTAGGTCGTGAAATCCACAAACAGTAACTGCCAAATTCTGAAATAAATTTTTTGGAATTTCTTCTGATCAGCTCGTATTGTTGCGGTATCAATGAGAAATATTGAACGATTTCATTTAAGTCGGAGGGGGGTCCCATTTTTTTCAAAAATTCTACTGCAAGAGTTATTTTTCAAAATTCCCTAATCTCCCAAATTTCAGTTCCTTCGTTTCCACCTCTCTAATAACCTTTGCAATTTTCAAAACTGCATTTTCGTTTCCAAGCGATTTGTTCTGGCACCATGCACTTTTCAAGGCTAAGATGGATGCATGCATTCTCAAAATAATCTGATCAAACAAAACTGATTAATTCGTCAAGAATCAATCAAAGCCAGCCTCCAATCATTCTTTTGATACAGTGCGTACTTTCGAAAAACTCTCACTTTTCACTTTTCTTCATAAATGGCTTACTTACTTACTTAGATGATAGTTAATTACTTAGATACTTAGTTCATTACATTTTTTAATGATTCCAGAACTTTAGAATAACGTTTCAAGATACCATGGTTTCTTAGGACCCATACATCATGCCCTAAATGGATAGAACTGATTTTTACTATTGGCAAGGCCTTCGAAACTGCAGGAAGCGAATGCCGGTATTTCGATTAGCATAAGACCTGCTTTTTGGGCTTGTTTGATATTTGCTAAGACTTTGATAGTCTTTCTATTGTTTCAGGAAGACGCTTCAGCCGTTTCTTGGATACTAGTGAACCAGTAATCTCACAGGTGCGAATTGTCAGGCGCTCTCGCTTCGAAACCCGCTGGTTCCCCGCTATTTGATGATTTTTGAAGCACCTTACGATTCTCTATATATCAGATTTGATACACAAATACGTTGCTTATGGGAGGAGGGAATGGAGGGGGGGAGGAACTAGTTATTGCTAAAAGGTAATTGGCACGCCTCCCTTGCAACCTTTCCATCAAATTACGGAATAAGAAAAATTCGAAAAGGAATGGTTTCGTCTATTTTCTGGTGTGGGCGGAAGATTTTTCAACCGTATTCTTTAATTTGATGGTCCCTCTTCTCGTTCTTAACTATGTACTGCCCTATTGCATGCATATTTTGTTTATAGCGGGATAGCGTAGCTCTAAGGAACAAAATCAAAATCGGAAAAATATGTGTTTTTTATCAATTTACACTCAAAAGAAAAAAACAAATAATAATTTAAAAAGAACTGCAAATGTAAAATTTGAATGTCTTTAAAATACTCAATGTTTTCATTAATTTCTTATTTGAGAATATGCCGCTTGTATTGAATGCGGCCTCTTTTTTTTAGAACTTTTCTCTAACCTGAGCGGAAAAGTTTTTGTTTTTTTCTACTCCGTTCTTTTCTTTCAATATTATGATTCCGTCTAGTGTTGCTTTTTTCTTAGCTTGGCACTGACTTTTGGAAGACGAAATGAACTAATGGGCAAGTTTCATGTCACACAAAGAGATTTCTTTGCATGGCATTTTTTTCTGCACTCGCAGCTGGTGTTTCTTGCTTTAGCTCGTCAACATTTTTTTTACACTATTGCAACCATCTTCCCTTCGTAAAAAATAGGTTTGATGTAACTGTTTTTGACAGATATGCTGTCCGATCAGCACCAACATCAGAGATGTCCGATAATTTCCATGGAGAAATTTTGCAATAAAATCTGATTAAAAGATCAAAAGCAGGTGCTGTGCTTTGATTAGAAATGATGCGTCTGTGAGCGTATAGATCATTTTTGAGCCGCCAAAAATTCATTAAAAAATAGGGCGAAAAATGCTTACAAATATTCAATGACTTCTACCAGAATCTCATTGATTGCCGGGTATATAGCAACTTAAAAGCTGAAAATCTCAGCAGCGTGGACATCCTGCGTGACGTAACCGAAAAACGAAACCCTTCGAATTCCCCAAAATAAAACTATGACTTTAGATGGATTGAAGGACGCTGATTCCAATATTCTGTTTTCCTGTGCTCGAGAATTTGAGGGAGTTATGCTGTTGTGGCGATTTCAAAGCGCCATCGCGTTTACTTTGGAAATTTTCGAAACCGCACTGATGGTAGTGCCAAGTCCAAAAGATTTGGTTCAACTGCAATCAAATTTTTTCCTCAACAGTCACCTCTCTAACCATAATGGTCTAGATGATGGTAGGATACCGTCGTTCTCGAAATAAGACTCCGTAATTTCGTAAAGGAACACAGGTTTCAGAAGCAAAATACCTGCGCAGAAATCCACGAGACGAAAAAGGGGATGAGATCCAATCCATAAGCGATGCTCTTAAGTTATCGTTAAGTCAGATCTCTTTTTCTTTTTCAGCATTTTTTCTTGTCACCTAGAGTTAGCCATAACCGTGAAGTTTGAAAAGAAAAAAATGAGAAAAAGTTTTTCCAAAGACGCTCTTCGGACGTAAGCATTGACGCAAGGGTTAGACATGGTCAGAACAGTAGAGTTTCTGTTGGTCTCTACGGAAATGTACCTGCATGCGTATTGCTTTGAAAGTAAACTCCACATATAGAAGGCTGTCCATATGAAGCCAAAGAAAAAAGATGCAAAATACTTCCTTAAAGCAAAGAATCTCTTAAAAATCGAATAGAAACGCTGGATAAATTTGAAATCTTTCATTTGGCGTTGCAGGTTTTCGCTCCAGGACCACGCAATCCACAACGCGGGGGAAACGAGGAAAAGCTGTTTTTTGTTTGTGTTTATTCCAAAAACAACCATGTTTGAAACTAGCGATTATCAAGAAAAGATAAACAAGAAAAGAATTAGTTTTGAAAACAAGAGAGTTTTGCTTTTACCATGTCGAAATGCGCGTCAAAGCCAACCTGGCTTTTGGTGTCTCTGAATTTTTACACCCACATTGTGGTTCCCGTTTTCTGGGACGTTTTAAATTGTAGCGTTCACTATTCTGAGCAGCGTCCAAGCTGGAAAAAGATCTATATGAAAGCACCGAAACAGAACTAGTTAAAAAACGCTCTTTTTACATTTTTCACAGAAAATTCCGCCTTAATTGAGGAGATAAGCGCTGAGTTGGGCCGCGGTGAACAGCTTCGGCGAGATTGTGTCGCCTTGTCGGATTCCTTTCCCTACTGGGATGGTCAGAGGGCGATGGAATAGCTGCAACTTCGTTGTACAGCCCTTACAGCAATCGGCTGATGTACTCACGTAAGCTGGGTCCACTCCTTGATCGACTAGCGCAGACAGGTTGGCGTCTTTTTCGACGCTGTCAAAGGCTTTCTCGTAGTCGACGAAAGCTAGGACGACAGGCAGTCGGTACCTCCGGCAGACTTCTACGACCCTCGAAATTGTCCGGATGTGGTCAAAGCAGCTGAATTCTTTGCGAAATCTAGCTTGTTCCTGAGGCTGGGCTTCATCCAGTGTCCTAGATGTGCGAGGATTAATCTTCGTGTAAAGTTTGTACAGCACACTCAGCAGGCATATTGGACGGTAGTTTTGAAGATCCTCCCGTTCACACTTCTTAAAGATAACTCTGGTCAGGAATTCTTTCCTTCTGAAAGTAAGACGTCAGGTGCGAGCGAGAATCTCATGTAGACGTTTTCCTCCAGCTCGCAGAAATTCAACGGAAAGATAGTCTGGTCCTGGACCCGTGGACGTCTTCGTGGTCTGTATCGCCATACGCACTTCAGCAGGTAGAATTCGTGGTGCTACTTCTCCAGTGGGAACAACGGGAATCAGCACAGATGTTGATGAGCGAAAGAGGTTGGTGTAGAAATTCTTTACGATAGGTTTCATCTTATATCGGGAAGAAGGGAGTCCCGTCTTAGTCCAATGGTGCAGCCAGCAGTACCTGCTACTCACAGAGGTCCCTACGGCACTTCTTAAGAATTCGTCTTCCTTCGGCTGCTTCCGGTATCTTGGCTTGCCTGTACTTCCTGAATCCTCCTGCAAAGCTGTTCTGCGATTGGCGTTGGCTATCAGTCTCTTGAGATGGGTTGCATTCGGATCCTGTCTCGGAAAACTTCTTCTCTCGAACAGCCCCTTGTCGTCTTCAAAATGTGTTACAAGTTCATATGAAAATAACTGAGGCGCACTCTCCGCAGGCTCGCAATCCTTTCAGAATCCGGTCGTAGTCGTACGTTGGGTCCTCCTCGATGGGCCAGTCACAACTCGATATGAGTCTCCCAGCATGTTACCGTCGTAAACGGCTTCTTTCCAATCGCTCACAGGAATGACTCATGCGGAAATCGACTCATCCTCACCAACCGAGGGTGGAGCTTGCTTGATGTTTCAGCAATTCCATCCTTCTGCAATGGCTCCGATCACCGCCTCCTTCGAGCGAAGATATGACTCAACCCAAGGCTGGAAATGAAAGTCTGTCACAGCGCCCGAGAAGTAAGGAGTCGTCGGACAGCCTGCGAATAAATAGGAAGAAGAGTCAGTTTATGAAAAACGCCCTTTGCGAAGATGCAGAAATGGAATTGAAAAGCTCCCATTTTATGGAGACGTCTTCTTACGTGTATCTCGGACGTTCGATGAGCATGGAGAACGATTTGAAGGAAGAACTTGACAGGAGAAGAAGTGCAGCCTGGGCCGCCTTTGGACCTCTGAAGGTAGACATTGACTAAGTGACGGGGAGCTTCGTGCCCACATGTTCGACTCAACCGTCCTCTCGGCGCTCTGTTACGCAGCTGAGACTTGGGCCGACACCGTAGCCACGTCGAAAGCTGTACGGACCACCCACAGAGCGCTTGAGCGCAGTCTTCTGTAGATGAGCCGACACAAACAACACCTTGTCGGACTTCACAGTACGGATTTGAAAAGAATGTTCCGTCTTCGTGACCCAGCGGAATACATTGCGAAAACGAAACATCGATGGGCCGGTCACATTATGAGAAGAACAGACGACAGATGGACACAAAGAATATCGGAGTGGATTCGCGAAGCGAAACGTCCCTGAGGAAGACCTCCAACGAGATGGGCAGACGTGTTCGTGGGGATGGACCAGCTGAGAAATCAGCTGGTCCATCCGTTCTACGGACACGTCTGGCTGGATACGAATTCGCCCCTGAAACTCGTGGACGCAGCCACCGACGACGACCAAGAGAGTGGAAGACTACACGTCGCCGAATTTGGAAGAGTCCCGCGCGGATTCCCTGCAGGAACGCATGTCCGCGCATGTACAAGGGTGCGTATTTGTCGCAAATGACCGCGAGGACCGCCCTTTTTCGGCGACATATAGTCCTCTATCCCGGCCAAGAAGATCGTGGATGTCCGAAGCGAAGGACAGGAATCTAGAAATTTCTGTACTGGGTCCCGCACGTCATGTGGGGACGGGCCATCTAAGTATCTAAGTATTTGAGTAAAGTAAGTAACCCAGTTTTTTACACCTTTATTTTGCCGAAGTTTTGTTTACCATACCACATACCTACGTCAAGCTACCAGTTACAATACTAGACAACTGTCTTTAATTTACCCTGAACCGGTAGTAAAGAGGATGGAGTTTCGATTCGTAATTAACGTTTTAGCTCCCTTCAAACAATAAAGATTTTAGTCAAACAAGCTTCTTTCTTCCCGCATTACCCAATATTAGTGGCTGCATGGTAAGCGCTTTTCATTTTTTGACCTTTCTTTTGTCTGTACTGGCACACGGTGAGTAAATAATTAATCATAAAATAATTTATTTGTTTTGGCACCCACTCTCTCAAATATGCCTCTTTGAACGGAGGCCTTTCTTTAGCGTGTATGCGAACGTTAAACGATGACGTTGTTGAGAATATGTTCGCTTTTTATAATTTAGAAATCACATGTATTTACTAATTGCGCAGAAAGTTATTGCTTTTTTTTGATAAAAACAAGTATCATGAAAGTTCTGCAAAAAAAAACAAATCTTCTCCTCCTTTACTCAGTAAACTCCGTTCTGTTTAAGCAAATACGATTTAAAACGGACGATTTAAAAACATTGGAAATTATTATTTCTTCAAAACGCCGATGATATGTTAGATATTTTAAATTACCCAACCTAAGCAGGTTTCAGCCACACCATCAATGAGATACGATGGTAGTCGTTGTTTTGCCATATTGTTGAGATTTTAAAAAAATGTGAAAGCAATCAGCAGTGATTAGCACTTCTGCAATTTTAATTTTACCAGTTACGATGGGTGTGATCCTTCTTGGTTTTTCTTTGAGGTTTCTGTGCAAATCATGATATGCTTCGCACGATACTGGCAACAGAAAGCACGAAGGTTCTGTGCGGTCTTTTGTACATAACTAGGCTAAGGAAACCAGAATTTTTCATTCTTTCTAAGAAGCTGCAGAAAAAACTACTGAGAACCAATACTAATTTTATTGGCAACAAAACACATAATCCATAATAGATAAAATCGATTTCTGATCATAACAGCTACGACCTAGCTTGCAACACGATAAGCACATTAAGCAGCGAGCAGGTAACACTTGGGTTGCACACGCGTGGATAACTCCATCGGTGCAAGGTAATTAAAACAAAAAGTATCATACTGCACAGCAGATTTGAGACACGATTTTATGGGATAGGTGAACATCAAAAATCCTAATCCAGACGCGAAAAAGCAAAATCTGCTTGGTTGTCAATGTCTTACTGGTAAGAAGCTTTGAGTCAAAGTGCATGCTAGATGCCGCCTACGGTGTCCATTATTGGTGTGTTGTTCACATCTAGCACATTTGCAATGAAGATTGCTTGTTTTGCATCGCTTAATCCAAGCGGTATGAGAAGACTTTTAGGCTCAAAGTTTAGGATTATTGATGTCTTCTTTGCAAACGTTGGACTCGACTTCACTACTTCAACAGAAGTCACATTGCCTGTGTCTATTCTCACTACTCCACAGCACACTGCTTCGCAAGCGCAGAGATACCTAAATGCATACGCAATGCATACGCATCCAAAAATTCATAGCCGGTCACATTGTAGATGTCTCCGAAGTAAAGTTTGTGCCAATCAACATCTGCTGAACCCTCTCGGTTTCGAACTTGATGTACCAATTGATTCAACTGGCTTGGCTTCGGGAAGGCGGAGCTCCGTGACCTAATTGAGGCTAGCTAGTGATCAAAGAGCACACGCGCAATAGAGACGCAGGTGCGTTGCGGGCGCGAGCGGCCTCAATTACGTCACAGAGCCTTCCTGAAGCCAAGTCAGTCGAATCAAAGATTAGTTTTCCAAGCAGCAGCATGGTCTTAGGCCGCGGGCAATTTTACATTTTTAGCATTTTCACGCAATTTTAGTAGCCACGCGATTTCACAATTCGCCAAATGTCTTCAGTCTCTGGGGATCCACAAATTGTTGCTTTTGATTTTTGTAGGCTGATGTAACCTACTTTTGTAAATGCATTCACGTCCAGTTATTAAGATGTGCGGAAAGTTTTGTCCGTTTTTTCAAACGGCTATAGAACCGCGCACAATGAAGACCTGGATGAGTTTTAACAAGCATTCGATGCAGATTTTCCTTCTCTTTCTTATAAATATAATTTTGAACCACAATCTTGTATGCTTTTTTTGATAATTGCCAGAATTGTCTTCTCACCCGTCTTTTTTTCCGCAAGTTAAGCTAACTTTTAAAAATTTCATTCCAATGTTTCGGAAAGGTTTGAGTATGCTTTAAATAGAGCAATTCTCGGACAACAAGGTGATATTTTTGGACTCTCTTAATCTGCTGTTTTTTGGCTCCAAAAAAACATTTTTTCTGAGGCCTCGATTTGGCAAAGTCATGAAACGCGCAAATGCAGCAATTACACGGAGTTAAAGTTTCTGCGAGTTGAAACACGATTCTTGTTGAACATTTATGCAGCATAAATAAGTTTGATTTGCTTGAAAAAGCAGCTTCACGGAATTTTCGGTACTGTTACATGGTAAACGAAATCAAAAAGCCGCGGTTTTTTATTAAATAAATAATTATAATGGAGTTGGCTCAAAAAGAAGTGATTGCGTAGATCATTATTTTGTAAAGGTACCCAAGAAAATAAAGACATTTTCGCCAAAGATTGGTTCAGGGTATAGGTTCAGTAACCGCTCTGCACACTTGTTCTCTGCGGACAGATTCTTCCTTATCAAAATTAACAGTACCAAAAAACCTTCCGAACAAGGTTTACATTTCATTTATAAAGGGTAACCATACTAAGTAAGCTTCAAAGTCATAATTATGCGACTACGAAAAATGTATTCAGATAATGGAGCCAGTGCGAGCCTCTGCGAAGGAGACGAGACACATCGCTGGACGATAAACTTACTGGCTTTTTGAAAGACAGGAATTGACACACACTCTGGCTGGGGGTTCTTAGCAAAGACTAAGCTAAACACATATATTATATTATTAACTCGCGTAAGTTTGAAGACGTGGACGACCTGTAGTTGAATTTTTCCCCTTCTTTGGGAATTTCTGAAGTATTCTTCGTGAAGAAATAGCCAAATCGTTCAACAAGAAATATGTGCATAACAGTGAAATGAACGAATGCTTGCTTGTCGAGCAACTCCATCATCCTGCTTTGGCTCTGTAACTCAGGTAACGGAATTAAATGAAATTCCACTTGTGGCGCAAGTGGTAAGCGTCTGCATGTCGTCTGCTTGAGCTGATAGTCAAGCTTGTACACAGTGTCGCCTCCGTTTTGGGTAGCGTTTCCAATCGTAAACATAGAGCAGAGACCCTAAATATCTTATCAGGACGACGAGGAAGTTATGTTTGAACGAAGTACAGAAGGCTTACTTACCCCACGGTAGCTGACAAAACTGCAGTCATCTTCCTCAAAACAAGCGCGAAGACACATATCACTGCTTTTTTTGGCATCTCATACATAATATCCGCAAGGAAATACTCCTTTTGAACTGTGAAGGTGCACGACAGCACTCCAGAAGTCTGCGTGAAAGAATAAGCAGTTTAATTCTCTCCTGCGAGACATTGAATTAGTATGAATAAAATTCTAGAGTTTTTCTGCAACTGCTAGACATCAGTAATCGCAAACAAAATGGGAAAATGTTTTTTTTTTGAGCCGGGCGAGATGTGAATGGTGGCTAAACTATCACTTCCGGAGCATGAACATTGGCACTTTTTAAAAAGTGTCCTAAATCATTCAAAATTTACTTTTTATGTCCTTCAAAATTATTGTTTTATGGTTCTAATAGAAACAGTCACAAGTAGAGCTCACAAAGCGCATAAAAAGGTTAAGGATCTTATACTCAAAAATTCCGAGACAGATCATATTAGGTTGCCCAAAAGTAAATTCTTTTTCTAAGCAAACCAAGTTTTGTTTTCTTAGGGGGTTAGGATATGACTCGGTAGAGTGAAGCAAGTTTAACGAAGTATCCATCAAAGACTCGCTTAAGTCGTAGTCCGAGTAAGGTTTCTAGCTATTTTGATCTCAATTTTAACCCGAAAAAAAATCCATCAACCGTATTTTTGGTTACTACATGGGTCCCCTTCATAGCGACCAGTTGGAGATCCGCAGGAATTTTTCGAAAAGATATCCGCCTTGAAAGTAGTTAAAAAAATTGGATTTGGCTCCAAATCTTATATGGGTTACAAGTTGAGCGGATCTTTGATGGCCATATTTTAGAACTTGCCTTGAACTATCGAATGTCATCCTAAGTCTGCCAGGAAAACCAAAACAGCTTAGCTACAGCTTTGAATCAGCTGAAAATCTTATGAGACAATGGCTGGTGCAGGTTTTTTTGAGTCATGTATTTTTTGATTTATGAAACTGTTACGGATATGGCCGCCGTAGCTCTTCCAAATCTAGAAGACGCGCAGGAGGAGCCAAAATCGTAGCCACCTGTGTCGGCAGGAGACAACTGAAGATTCGAGGGCTTTGAGGAAGATTTGGCAAGAATTTAGAGAGATTTTCAAGAAAATGAGTCGTTAACGTCGCATGGAAAGACTTTCAAGAAATAAGTGAGGCAGCTTTGCAATCTGCGTTTCAAGATGCACTTTTTGGAATCAAAAAATTGCGAGTTTTATTCAGAATGAATACACATACATATATCATTCTATGAACATGTCAGAAACATGTTTGCTAAGGAAAATACCTCGCGCTCAAGTTTAAGAATTTTGTCTGAGAGTTTTTAAATAACAAGAAAGTCATCTGATTGTCCAGTTATCACTTTTAGTGATAAAATTATTTTGTATTTGTAAGGCAGTATTATTTTCGTATCCGAAGTGACATGCAAAAGTACATCGCATATACGCATACAGCATAAGATTTGAATGGTTTTGTTCACGAAATTCTGGTTTCAAATTTGTTCAAATTTTAAATTTGAAGCACTTTTACATCATCTGAAAACCATGTCTGTCATAAATAACCTCACGTAATGTAATATAATTGAATGTTACCTTAATTTTTGATAACTCGCTTTTGGTCCAAGCACAATGAAAACACGTTGACATTTGCTGGACCTTGCATTCTATAGAAAGGAAACAACCTTTTTTACTTTTCTAATAGGCCACGTCAACTTTACAAGAATTTCCATTTTGAGGCTTCAACTTGGACTGCTGATTCTGAATTTGCCCTTCAAGTTTGCTTTCCACATTTGTCAGTGATTTATCGAGTAAACTTCCCCAGTGATCTATTAAGTATAATCGCTAAAATTTTTTGTCTGGTAACTTTAAATTTTACGTATATCATTAATAAAAACTGTGAAAGAAATCTATTGCTTTTCATATCTCTCGAGCGTTTTCCCAAGCAAAGCTATGAGCATTTGTTTTCCTACCATACCCAAATTACTTGCCAAGCTTTCTGGATACTTGCCAGATCCTCCCTCAAAGTGCTCGCGCCCTTAATTGTCTCCTGCAGATATGGCGACAACGCCTTTGGTACATTCTGCTGCGTCGCCCCCAAATCTTACACATTTAAAGCTTTTTATTTTTGAAGCTTTTGATCAGAACAGTCAGATATTTGGTTTTTCCCTCTTTCGTAATGTTTCAGGAGTTGGCCAATCGAGAAATGGCGCAAGGCTGAGATTTATATTATTTCTCAAAGGCATCAAATCTTTTCATTTAATTTTGTCTGCTTCAAACAGAGTGACTTGAAACATTCGAAACCCTTTTTCGGCAATTGATTCGCGATAAGTGGTTTTTGGAGTTCATAAACAATTCTGAAAAATAGTAGCATAACATCAATAAGACATTCTTCAAAGGTACTATGTAGAGACGTTGGCGAATTATTTTGGGATTTTTCCGTTTGCGTTCAAAAAAAATCTTCTGTGTCGACCAGTTTCATACAGGGGATACTCCTTTTTGTGATTGATTCTGTATTTCGGGCTCATAATTGTGTACAACATGCAAGGAGGAAGAGAGTCTGTAGAACATTGCTCTGTGTATTAACGAAATGTTTTTTTTCTGGCATTTAATTTGCATGATAGAAACGGTCTTCTTGTTTAGTTTGCTCTGTACTACATTACCCTGTGCTTTGATTTGAAGCAAAACGCTCTGCAACTGTGCTAGAAATTAAAGCAAACTACCTGCATCATCAGCAGTGCAACGCCAACATCAATGCCTTTCGACGACATGACCTGAAATTGAAGAGTACCGATCTGTCCTCAATTTTCATGTTTTGTAGAATCAAAGCCCACAAGCGCTCCTGAGCGAGAAGTCTACCATTAGTAGAAGGGACTATAATAGACGTCATTGTTGAGTCCCTGATTTCCCTCAAAATCTGTGTTACCATCCTAGAAAGGATAAAAGGATGTGTGACTATACTACAACTATTACTATCCTACAAGGGTAGTAATATTTTACATTAAAGATGACATGTGAGGTGTTGCTAAAGCTAATGTTGATGCCGTTCTCAAGTTTAACATCCTTATCGACAAAACTTCAATCAAAGCAAGGAAACAACCTTGATTATGAAGTTTGCGAGCTCTGCATGCTTCACAATTCTTTACAAAAGACAAAGATTTCTGCAGACATCACTGCCAGGTCAAGGTAAGGACTACTTGAAACCTCTTTTGGCGATATACGCCTATGATATTCCCTTCTACTGATAATACACTACTTCTGACTAGATAAAAAATGATTCTTAAACGCTTTGCCATAAGAAGACTAAGACCCGTATGCACGTATAGTAGATTCGTTGACCGCACAGAATGGACATCATTGCGGAGCACGCCGCGAGGTGAAACGCTTGCCCCAGTACAAATTCGCCATTGCACAAATCGTGCTCTCGCGACAATTCGCGAGAGCACGACTTGTGGCCGACTCGCCGCGAGTAGCCGCAGCGTTTGCAGCGTGCGGTCAACGAATCGACGATAGTACGTTTCCGCTGGGGAGAGGAGGGGATCTGAGAGGGGATGCGTCATATCTTGCTACTCTATGTATCTTTCTTCTTCCCTCTCCATCAAGCTTATAGAGATTCTCAGGTCCTAGTACCTGCGCATAATTGATGCCAGGTTACTGGCATAATTGATTAGATTTTCACTATTTTGTGTGATTCCCTGGGGATCCCAAGGGGATCACCTCTCAATTTCAATGCTATTGATCTTCCTGAAAACTCAATGAAAATGCTGTAAAATTGTACTCTGGATATACTTTGGCACTGCTAAAAATGTTTATAGTAGAAATAGGCAAAAACTCAGGATATCGAGATCTTTGTTTTCGACAGTGAAATGGAATCTGAAGATTGTGAACTTTTCGATGATTCCTAATTCGCGAACAAAACATGCTGCCGAAAACATGTTTGGCAGTTCCGTGGTATATCTTTAGTACAATTTTCCAGCATTTTCATTCTCTCAGGAAGATAAATGACCTTGAAAATGAGAGGTGATCTCCTGGGGATCACCTCTCATTTTCAAGGTCAAATCAAGGAAAAACCAATCTTGTATGGCAGCAACCTGACATTTATTATGCGCAGGTATAGGAGTATGAGAACCTTTATAAGCAAGATAGAGAAGGAAGAAAAGATACCTAGAGTAGCAAAATATGACGCATCCCCTCTCCCTCAGCGGGGATGTAAGTGCATACGGGCCTAAGGGCCGCATGCACTAACATCCCCGCGGAAGGGGATCGCATCTTAAAAGAAAGCTTTATATTTCAAAACTCCAGATACCTGGATTTCACGTTGTGTACCTATCCGTAAGTATTCTACTCCCTTCACTATGAACATGTTGAACGGGAGCGAGAAGCTGTACGAACCGCATATTCCAGCTTTTGCATGATCCCTGATAATCCCCGGCGCTTTTTTTTGAAGTCATTTTTCTTTCTCCGAAGTTAACGAATAACCTTCAAGGTTGTGCAGATTGTCTAACCCGACAGTGCTAAGCATGTTGCTGATAAGAACAAGTGATGTTTTGAAGTCATGAAATATTCGATGATCCTCAGGTCGAAATTTGAGGTTTACCGAAAAATTCGACTTTTTAAAAACTCATTTGTTCTCATCAGGCAACATGCTTAGCACTGTTGTGTTAGATGTCAGTACAACTTTTGAAGGTTTTCGTTAAGTTCAGAGAAAGAAAATGACTTTGAAGAAAAGCGGCGGGGATCATCAGGGATCATACAAAAGCTGGAAAATGCGGTTCGTACAGCTTCTCGCTCCTGTTCAACATGTTCATAATGAAGGTAGGTAGGAGTACTTACGGATAGGTAAACAGCGTGAAATCCAGGTATCTGGAGTTTCGAAATATAAAGCTTTCTTTTAAGCTGCGATCCCCTCCCCAGCGGGGAGGTTAGTGCATGCGGCCCTAAGTAGTACACAAGGAACAGTACTGCAAAAATTTTCTAGTCTAAACAAACCTTGTTCGAATGCTCGGTCGAATGTGTGGTCCAACCCTCTCCGACCTC